CTTTTATTAAATTAAATAATAATTTAGTAGCTACAACAAAAAATAATACATATGAATTTCTTTAATTTAGAATTATGTGTCTACAATGCCTTTATTCAAAAAAAAAAAAAATATTCATTATCAATAAATTAAATAAGAGAAATAATTTCATTAGTTATATTTTCTTTATTTTTCTTCAATATAAAAATTCTTTACATTCAAATTCATCAATTGATTATATTCACTACATTGTCCCTACAATGTCTTTATTAAAAAAAAAATTATTCTTTATCAATATATTAATTAAGAGAAATAATTTCATTAGTTATATTGTCTTTATTTTTCTCCAATGTAAAAATTCTTTACATTCAAATTCATCAATTGATTATATTCACTACATTGTCTATGATCTTTTTTGTACACTATTTTTTAATTAATATCAAAGTTATAATACAAAATAATGTTATATATTTATTTAACAAGTATTTGATTAATACCATGAAAAAATTAAAAAAAAAAAATTAATAAAGGCAATCATATTAACTACTTGAGGGATTTTTTGACGAAGAGAGATTCAAATCACACAACATATTGAGGTGGGAATTACCTTGCAATGTCCTTGTTTGAAAATCAGCAGTTAGCAGTTAGCGTTAGCGGATTTGATCAGCGAATTATATCAACGGTGGGTAAAAAGACATTTGAAAAAATTAGCTGTTTAGATTAACATGAAAAATGACCTGAGGGTATACATATATTTTGTAGTAATAATAATAATAATAATAATAATAATAATAATAATAATAATAATAATAATAATAATAATAATTTAATAAAAGAAATAAAGTTTTAAAAAAAACATATGGGGAGTCGAACGTTCGGCTCTCCTTAGTTTTTTCACTTTTTCCACATCAGTTAATTTCTGTTAGTTCAATCTTAACTTACTCATTGATTTCAATAACAAAGGTCTTAGGTACGAACCACATCCCAATCAAAGTGGACATATAATACTCTTATTAAATTAAATAATAATTTAGTAGCTACAACAGAAAATAATACATATGCATTTCTATAATTTAGAATTATATGTCTACAATGCATGCCTTTATTCAAAAAAAAAAAAAATTATTCATTATCAATAAATTAATTAAGAGAAATAATTTCATTACTTATATTGTCTTTATTTTTATCCAATGTAAAAATTCTTTATATTCAAATTCATCAATTGATTATATTCACAACATTGTCTATTATCTTTTATTGTGCACTATTTTTAATTAAATATCAAATTTATAATACAAAATAATGTTATATATTTATTTACCAAGTATTTTTTTAATACCATGAAAAAATTTTAAAAAAAAAAATAATAAAGTCAATCATATTAACTACTTGAGAGATTTATTGACAAAGAGAGTATTCAAGTCACACAACAAATTGAAGTGTGAAACTATCTTGCAATGTCCTTGTTTGACAATCAGCAGTTAGCAGTTAGCGTTAGCGGATTATATTAGCAGATTTGACCAGCGAATTACATCAACGGTGGGTAAAAAGATATTTGAAAAAATTAGCTGTTTAGATTAACATGTAAAATGACCTAAGGGTATACAATATTTCATAATAATAATAATAATAATAATAATAATAATAATAATAATAATAATAATAATAATAATAATAATAATAATAATAATATTTTTTTAAAAAATAATTATAATAATAATAATTTAATAAAAGAAATAAAATTTTAAAAAAAATAACACATATGGGGAGCCAAACATTCGATTCCCCCTTAGTTTTGTCACTTTTTTCACATCGGTGGGAAAAGTGGCATAGGAGCCTCGATTAAAGGAGTGTTAAGACTCCAATTTAAAAATTAAGCTTGCCCATCCGTTGATGGGCAAGCAGTGAGCCAGCGAAACTGGATCTTGTTATTCAAGGAGTCGAAATGGCTCTAAAGTAAACTTCTTATTTTTTTTTTTTTTTTTTATAAATATAGAGGTGTTTTGGGGAAATCACTCTAAAAAATGCAATGAAAATATTGTAAATTACAATATTTGTACTTTCAGTGGTTTGGAACAAATTGTTGTTTCAAATTGTTGAATAACCAAATAATTTCTTTAGCATTTTGATCTTTGGGTTACATCATAGTTACCAATTATCCAATATCTTTGGGTTACATTATAATTAAAATTTTTAAATTTTTACTACATCTAAATTCCTTAAATTAGGAATTTCTTTATCCATAATAATTTATTCAACAATAATGGTTGAACTAAATGAACACTGAGCAAAACACCTAAAGGATTGGTACTGTTGATTCATTCATTGATCTTGTATATATGTGCATTCATTAAAAATATTAGAAACCTTTGCAACAAAAATAGTTGGTGACTATTTTAAAAAAGTTTAGTAACAATTATAATGAATCTCATATATTACATTGTGTTCATATACTATGAGTTACATATTTAAATAAACAAATTCGACATTGAATTACTTATGTATCAACTTCTCATATATAATCTTGCATTGATATACTTTCAAATATTTATTTAATTATAAACATTGGACATTAACTCATTCGCGCAATGCGCCTGTAAAACTAGTATTCGAATAAGAGTGGACATTGAATACCAGTTGTTATACTATGGACCATGGTCCACAGTGCTGGGTGGACCATAATCGTCAAATAAAACTGTAGTAAAATTAAAATGATACTCCAGTGTTGTTATAATGAAACTAGCATGCGTGGAAAATGAAACTAAAGAACAGATAGAGTTCATTCCACAACGTATATTGTCAAATGAAACTGTAGTATAATTAAAATGATATTTTAGTATTGTTATAATGAAACTAGCCTGTATGGAAAATGAAACTAAAATTCAGAGTCATACAATAACATATATTGTCAAATGAACATAGAGTGTAATTAAAATAGTACTTTAATATTACTATAATTAAATTAGTGTGTGTGTGTTTCAAAAAAAATAAAAATAAAATTAGTGTGTGTGGAAAATGAAACTACAAAATAGAGCACATGCAATAATGTATATTGTTAAATGAAACTATAGTAGAATATAAATGATACTTTGGTATTGATATAATAAAATTACTGTGTATGAAAAATGAAACTGAAAAACACAGCAATATTATCAAATGAAACTAAAGTTTAATTAAAATGATACTTACTTCATGGACCACATTCCTACATGCACCATGGTCCACAATAAAATTTGCGCATTGAATACAATACCAACTTAAATTTAACAACCCAAACTAAAACCAATTGTTATATCTACTAGGACCAGTCTCTACTTGTAAGGTAGACCCTGATTCAATATTACGTGGTTTTGTAGTTTTTAGAAATGATGCTTTTAATGGTTTTTTTTTTCTTTTTTTGAAGGGTATGGCTTTATTCTTTTTAACTCATAAAAAAATCTAGTACTAATACATAATCTATTAATTATATATTCATAATCATGATAACATGTCAAACACGGATTCAAAACTACATTTAAATGCAAACAAAATACAACTACATAGTTCTACTAAAAAACAAAAGAAAAAAAAATAGAGGAATACAACTACTAAGTTAATAAGCAAGTTTAAAACCTCTGCATAGATGTAGTACTACAAGTTCATATACTTAATACATTAACTGCTTAAGGTATATATTTATATTAACCTACTCAATGTATGAATCGCTAGTTTTAAGTTTATTATCAACAATGACGTTTCCTCTCTAGGGTTTCGCTAGGGTTTCTTCTTCCTTACTCGGTTTCGAGTGCTTTCCGGCGACTTTTGGCCTCTTTCTACGGGAAATCTCGGCGACGATTCCAATCTGCGTGCATGGAGCGAGGATCGGTGACGGAGGCGGTCAACATATTGGGGAGACGGTGGGCTGACGTCGTCCTTGACGACGAGGAGGATGAGGTTTTCGTACCTCCCGGAGTGGCGGATGCTGAGCAGCCGGCTGCGGCAGTTCAGGTATGGCGGCTAGTTGGCAGGTTTTTGACTACTAAGCTAATTAAGACGGAGTTCATGAGCCAAGTCATGGCTTCGGTATGGCAGCCGGTTAAGGGGGTTCAAGTTTCAGAATTGCAACCGGGGCTTTTCCTGTTTGTGTTTTTCCATGAAACAGATATTCAATTGGTTCTTGAGGGAGGGCCATGGTCCTTTGAGAATCACACGTTTGTTTGCAGACAAGTTCAGGATGGGGTTATTCCGGGCACGGTACCACTGGATACGGTTGATATGTGGATTCAGGTACATGACTTACCACTGGGTTACACATCTGACATTATTCTGGAGCAGGTTGGAAATTTCCTTGGAACGTTTATTAAAGTTGATGATCGATTTGCGAATGCGCCAGGGAAAACATTCTATCGAATTAGGGTTTCCATCTCAGTTTTGAAACCGCTAAAACGACGTATGAAATTCATGAAGAGGGATAAGTCAACTTGTTGGGTTAATTTTAAGTATGAAAGACTGCATAATTTCTGTTACTTTTGTGGTATGATGGGGCATCTACATAAGTATTGTCTGAAAGCAAGGGATGCAGGGCTTCCGATTGATCAATATCCGTATGGTGAGGGCTTACGTGCGGGCTTTAAGAAGGGTCCACGAAAAGTGGGAGCGTCATGGCTGCTAGACATGAACGGCAAGCCTATGGCGGGATCCCCCTTGGATATTATGCCGACGGTGCGGGTTGAGGACCATGTTGATGCTACATCCGACCCTACACGGGTTTGTGGCGAGAGTGTTGTAGTTGAGGCTGCAACGAAGAGGAGGCGTGCGGATTTGAATGGGAATGATGAGAACAGAGTGAGGGATGGTGATGATGTTGTTATGACAGAGATCCAAAAAAACTTGTCTGCGGCGGGTACTGGTTCCCAGTCCCGCCCATCATTATGAGTACCATCAGCTGGAACTGTCGTGGCTTGGGTAATCCACGAACAGTTCGTGAGTTAACGGACCTAGCGTCCCGTAAAAAGCCTGATTTTATTTTTCTTATGGAAACCATGGTGGAACGAATACATGCTGAAAGGATTCGTGTCTCCCTTGGTTTTGATGGTCTTTTTTATGTTAATCCAACTCCACAAGGCGGTGGTGGCCTAGCACTACTGTGGCGTAAGAATGATACGGCAAGTCTCTTGAGTTACTCTAAAAATTATATTGATATTGAGGTGAATATGCCCAGCTTTCCCAGATGGAGGATGACGTGTTATTATGGCTACTCCCAGCGACATAGGCGCATGGAGGCGTGGGACTTGATAAAATCCTTCGCGCAGCGCTCTACTCTACCTTGGGTTATGATCGGGGATTTTAACGAGCTGTTGTTTCAGCATGAGAAGAGGGGGGGCAATCCACACCCCGATAATCTCCTACGCGGGTTTGGGGAGACTATTGATCAATGTGGTTTGAATCAGTTGCCTATGGAGGGGTACCGTTTTACTTGGGAAAAAGGGAAAGGAACATCAAATTGTATTGAGGAAATGTTGGATAAGGTACTGGTATCTGATGATTGGCGGGAGATTGTGCCGGGGGCCAGGCTTGTTAATAATCTGATGCGGAAATCGGATCACTCCGCGTTATTTCTGAGTATTAATGACACGTTCCAGGGAGGAGGGCGAGGGAGGAGGGGCTTTCGGTTTCGGTTTGAGATGGCTTGGATTTATGATGATGGGTGCAGGAATGTTGTGGAAAAGTCATGGGAGGAGGGAAGGCGTGATGGGGTCCAGGACTGTATAGTGCATTGTGGGAACCGGTTAACCAGGTGGGGTGGTGATCGGTATCATAAGTTTGGGGAGAAAATCATGCTCCTGCGGAATCAGCAACTGCGTCTGAGGGGTCGCACTGACTCTACTTCTTTGGCTGAATTCCAAAGACTGGAAGGACTTTTGTGTAGTATGGAGGCCCAAGAGGATGTTTACTGGAAACAGAGAGCAAAGCGACACTGGCTCACTGACGCAAATACAAGATTTTATCACAGGTACGCCTCTCATCGTAAAAAGAAGAATACTATTTATAAGCTTATGAATGATAATGGGGATTGGTTGGAAGGAAATGCTATGAATGCAATTATTTTGGATTATTTTACCCATATATTTTCCTCTGGTGGACCTGTGGATGGTGATGTGTTATTCTCTGGGATAACCCCCCGTGTGACCCGTACTCAGAATGAATCCTTATTACGACCCTTTGAGCTAGCTGATGTTAAAGAGGCTCTGTTTGCAATGGCCCCAGACAAGGCACCTGGTCCGGATGGTATGAACCCAGGATTTTACCAGCACTTTTGGGACATAGTTGGAAGTGATATTTCGACATTTATTCTAAACTGCCTCAATAATCGTGTCTTCCCCTCTGGTCTAAACGATACGGATGTGGTACTCATTCCGAAGAAGAAAGTCCCTGAAATGATAACGGATTTTCGCCCTATAGCTCTGAGCAATGTGATTTACAGAATTATGGCGAAGATGATTACGCAAAGAATGAAACCATTAATGGAGAAGATAATATCGGGCTCTCAGAGTGCATTTATTCCGGACAGGTTAATTACTGACAATATCCTTGTAGCTGCTGAGGTAGGGCATTTCTTGAACAGGAAGCAATGTGGTGCTGTGGGATGGGGAGCACTTAAATTAGATATGGCCAAAGCCTACGATCGCATGGAATGGCCCTTTCTCCGTGAAATGTTATTAGCCCTGGGTTTTGATAGCAGGTGGGTTGAATTGATTATGTTATGTGTCACTACTGTGTCATATAATCTTCTGATTAATGGCTCTCGTAGTTCTACCATTACACCCACGCGTGGTCTCCGCCAGGGGGATCCATTGTCCCCGTATTTATTTATTATCTGTGCAGAAGGGCTGTCAATTCTATTGCAGAGAGCGCAAGATAGTGGATTATTACATGGATGCAGGGTTGCTAGAGGGGCACCTCCGATCTCTCACTTATTTTTTGCAGATGATAGCCTACTGTTCTTCAGAGCGAATACGCAGGAAGCATCTGAAATTAGAAATTGTTTGTTACTATATGAGAGTTTCTCTGGCCAAAAGATAAATTATCATAAATCCAGTATTTGTTATAGCAGAAATACGGGGCAGAATGATAGGGATATGGTAGCGCAAATACTAGGTGTTAACCAAGCTCCAAGTTTTGGGAAATACCTAGGACTACCCTCCTTTGTGGGCAGAAATAAAAAGGCGGCGTTTGCATATATAGAAGATAAAATAAGGCAGAGAATTGGGTCCTGGAATAAGAGGTTGTTAACCCAGGCTGGGAAGGAGATCTTATTAAAAAGTGTGGCCCAGGCAATGCCAACTTTTTCAATGAGTGTCTTCCTACTACCTATATCTACTTGTACAGCTATTGAGCGGGTTGTGAATCGGTACTGGTGGGGGTCAGGAACCGAGCGGGGCATACACTGGAAAGCCTGGGATAGATTGTGTGTCCCAAAGAAATATGGAGGCATGGGATTTAAAGACTTAAGGGCATTTAATTTGGCAATGTTGGGAAAACAGGCATGGAGATTGCTCACTAACCCAGACTCATTGGTAGCCAGGGTTTATAAGGCCAGGTATTACCCAAAGGATACTTTCCTAGAGGCAACTATAGGAAATAATCCAAGTTTCTGCTGGCGGAGCATTATGGCAGCTAAAGATTTAATATGTGGAGGTGTACGAAAGCGAATTGGGAACGGGGAATCTACCTTGATATGGGAACACCCTTGGTTACAGGATGAGATTGATCCTATGATTCATACGGAAATGCCACAACACCTGTCTGGAGCCAAAGTGGTAGGATTAATTGATCAGGATACAAAAACATGGGACCCGCACATACTAGCTGATATTTTCCAACCAGATGATATACCTAGAATTCAGAAAATACCGGTTGCCCCTGAGTATGAAGATATATGGTATTGGTATGATGATCCTAACGGTTATTATTCAGTCAAAAGTGGGTATAGACGAATAGTTGGAAACTATGAGAACAATTCTAATGGGATTTTTAGTGAATGGCTTACCCTATGGAAACTAAAAATCCCACCCAAGTGGAAGACATTCTTATGGAGGGCTATTTGTGATATCCTCCCTACTACCAATAATTTGCTTATAAAGAGAGTGGAGATTAACCCGATGTGTGCCATGTGTGGAAGAATGAATGAGGATACCATGCATGCATTAGTTTTGTGTGACTATGCACACTCCATATGGGCTAAATCCAACCTTCCAATCCCCATTATTATGACAAATGTTTTCCATGAATGGTTTAGTGCAATCTTGAATGTTCTAGACTTTGATGGAATTATTTATGCAGCTGCAATACTTTATCATTTATGGAGGGCGCGAAATGGTGCAGTGTGGGATGCCTGCCTACCAACGCCAACCAAGCTATTATTGACTGCAACGTCCACGATGAAGGCGTGGAAAATGGTTCACCACCGTGCGCCACAGCCGGAACGGGGCCAAGGAACCGCCGCTACTGCCCGTACCGCCGCTGCTGCCTATACCGCCGCTACTGCCCGTACTGCCGACCAGCCTCCGCTGCCGCCTACTGCTGGACCGACTGCCGCTTTTCCACCGCCGCTGCTGCCCGTACTGCCGGACCCGCACCATGGTGTATCACCATCACCGGTAAAATGCTACATGGACGCCAACTACCACCACGGAACGAATGCCGCTGCTGTTGGGGCGATCCTCCTCGACGCCAACGGCCATTATTTGTCGGCTTTCACCGCCCCATTGATTGGATGCCACTCCCCGCTATCGGCTGAGGCTATTGCATGCAAAGAAGTCTTGTCATGGCTCAAGAGGCGGGATGAATTATCTATACAAGTATTCACGAATTGCCAAGTGCTACAGTCCTATCTATCGGGACCATCAATAACACCACGGTCATACCTGGGCTATGCTATCGACAACTGCAGAGCTCATATATCTACTTTTTCGTATTGCTCAATTATTTACATTCCTAGATTACAAAATTCATTAGCTCATACTCTAGCTTCTACAGCTTTCACGTTTGATACTGCTATGTACTGGGACAATGTCCCTCCAGACTCTATTTTACCACTTCTATAAATACAACCTCCAGGTTGACCTTCAAAAAAAAAAGTTTATTATCAACATTTTATATATTATGAACTTAGAATATGGTTAGAATTACTTGACATGATATATTTATAGTTACCAGATTATGTACTTATAGATTTAAATTTATGCATCTATAATAAGGGTGTGTTTAGTTGATGGGTTTAGAAACAAGGAATGCGAATGAAAGTTATAGACATTGTTTGGTTGATAATTTTTTAAAACATAGGATTTGATTGCCCTATAATTACAAAATCCCTTACCTAATTTAAATCATGTATCATTCCATTAATTTAGCCTTATCCATCTTCATTTCATCGCCTCTTCATTTTGCTGGCTTCTCACTCATCTCTCCTCACTTCACTAATTGCATCACTGCATTGCCTATTCATTTCATTGCCACTATTAAGATCAATTGCCTTGATTTTCGTTTTGTATTTTAAAACTTTTTTGTTCCGATTATAGGGCCATACTTCGTACATCAATATTAGTAAAATCATTCCAATTCCACTTTACCACCAAACATGTAAAATACTTTTACCAAAACTCATTCCAATTACTAAGTATTTAATTCATATTCTGATTCCGATTCCCATGTTCGAAGTAAACACACTCTAAATAAATTATGTACTTACTAATTACTACAAAGGTAAGTGTTGATCAAACAGAATGAATGAATAAAAAATAAACTTAGCACACATTTAAACAAAACACTATCGTTTTGGATCATCATCCATAGTGTAAGGTGGATCGGATAGACCCTAGCCCACCATATAATTTGAGAAAATAATAGTTTGGTTTTTATTTAACCATTTTTACCAAGTCGAAAATTTAACTCTAAAACCAAATAAATATCTAAAGTTCAAAATTATATAATACCCAATAATGGTGATTAGGTAATGGAATATTGAGCATACAATATACAAACATAAATGTGCAATCCAACTATTAGTTTAGTCTTTTAGTTAAGATAGAACACATGTTTCAATTTGAATCAGGTGAATAGTTTACATGTTGCATGAAGCTCATCAAAAGTAACCGGCTCACACACGTGAAGGTCATGTTGACCGTAATATATATATATATATATATATATATATATATATATATATATATATATATATATATATATATATATAGGGAAGGGATCAGGTGCATTTGTGGCTTCTCGTGCGGTTGTGCAGTAGATTAATGTGCGTGAGTTATATACTTAATGTGCGTGAGTGTGTAATGTTAATGTGCATGAGTTTTGTACTTAATGTGCCTGGGTATTGTGCTTAATGTGCGTGAAGTTTGTGCTTAATGTGCGTGACTTAGTTCAAAATTACGAGCTCAGAAGGAAGCAGAACGGAAAGAGAAGGTGGGTGAAGCTTTTCTGATTGTGTGTGAATGGATTAATATATGTAAACGCACATATGGCTGTTATGATTTTATGTTAAAAACAAGACAAAATCCATTCCTCCACCACTTCGAAACAAAAAACAAGAAGAAAATGCAGCAGTGGATGTGCATAATTTTCACAGCAGTGGATGAAGAACACACTCACGCATATTAAGCACACAACTCACGCATCTTAGGCACACGACTCACACACCTTAAGTACAAAACTCACGCACATTAACATTACACACACACGCAAATTAAGTACAAATCTCAGGCACATTAAGCACAATACTCATGCACATTGAGTACAAATCTCACGCACATTAATCAACCGCACAACCGCACGGGAAGCATTCAACTGCACGGGAACCTTACACTATATATATATATATATATATATATATATATATATATATATATATATATATATATATATATATATATATATATATATATAGAAGAGCGCTCATATGCGGCGGGGTCTTACGGTGCGGCGGTGCGGTCAAATTCCAGAATACACCAACAGTGTTAACAATATGCACCAACAGTGTAATAAAAACACACCCCAATGAAATGTAATAAAACATCACAAAATACACCACAGACTCAAAAAAACACACCATATAACTCACCACCCCCAATGGTGTATTTCCGAACAGTGTATGGTGTTTTTACTCACACCTAATGGTGTGTGTTTGGTGATGCAGGGCTCTGTTTACTCTGTTTTGTGTGGTGTATTTCCTAACGTTGATGGTGCATATTTAGTGAACTATTGGTGTTGCCGCACCGTAAGAAATAACCGCACCGTAAGACACTGCCGCACCTGAACCCGCCTCTATATATATATATATATATATATATATATATATATATATATATATATATAGTGGCGGATCCAGAAAAAATTGTCAGTGGGGGCAAAACATTATAGTTTGAAAAACAATGAAACACTTAAGAAATATAGTCATAAAATTATTGGATATAGACAAAAAATAAAACACATTAAAACTTTATAAAAATATTCATAACAAAATATGAAACATAATTAATTTAATAAAATAATTCAAATAAAAAACACATTATAAATTATACATCGTGTCAACACATTATAAAGAAACACTTATGTTGAAAGTAAGTGATTTAATGAAGCAATTAAAGAAACCATTATGTTGAGCCATAATGAAACTGTTTATAGTGGCGGATCCAGAAAAAATTGTCAGTGGGGGCAAAACATTATAGTTTGAAAAACAATGAAACACTTAAGAAATATAGTCATAAAATTATTGGATATAGACAAAAAATAAAACACATTAAAACTTTATAAAAATATTCATAACAAAATATGAAACATAATTAATTTAATAAAATAATTCAAATAAAAAACACATTATAAATTATACATCGTGTCAACACGTTATAAAGAAACACTTATGTTGAAAGTAAGTGATTTAATGAAGCAATTAAAGAAACCCATATGTTGAGCCATAATGAAACAGAAACAGTTAGGAAAGGGATGAGATTAGTGTTGAGAGAGGGAAGGACTCGAACCACAGACGTTTCCCAAGCCCAGAAACGCCTTTGCCAACTCGTCCAACTTAACTATTGGTTACCTTTATCAGTTTTTAAATATTTATATGTAAAACATGTACTATATATACATATATACATACAAAGGCTATATATGGGGTGGGGTGGGGTGAGTGGGGGCAGCTGCCCCCATGCTAAATCCGCCCATGTATATATATATATATATATATATATATATATATATATATATATATATATATATATAAACATAGATGTGCAATCCAACTATAAGTTAGATTTTTAGTTGAGATAGAACACGTGCTTCAATTAGAACTAGGAAAATAGTATGGTTCGATCCATTTCAAAGGAATCAATGTGACAAATTATATCGTGGACCCCCGGGTCTAACTTGTATTGTGAATCCTGATTCAAAATGACATTTAGATTATGTCATAATGCAAGGTGAACCTTGGTCTATGGTATAACAATTGGATCAATGTTTGGTAAGCTTGGATGATGTAGTTGGGTTGGAATTGGGAATGAGGGTTTTACTGGAAGAGTAGAATGTGAGGGCAAGCCTAGTGGAGCAACCTCATGAGGGCATGGCAAGGTTGAGAAGGTGCGTTTTATATAGTTATTAATAAGTGAACAAACTTGAAACTTATAACTTGCGAATGTCTTGTTTTCATCCACCACCTTACCTTAATTTCCTGACTATCTCATATCTTGTCCTGCAAACCTGAGTGAAGATGTGCATGTCAGGATGAGGGTCGCGCCCAGCAGGCCCAAGTGAAACTGCATACGAACCGCCTATTATGCCTTACGGGCACCGTACTAGAGATGTGCGCTGCCTACTTTGCCCTGCAGGTTCGATACTTTTTTTTTTTACTCCTTTCTCTTTTTTTTTTTCTCCTGGGCTGCCTATCCTATCTTGTAGGCCCAACCATAATCGTTTTTTTTTTCTCTTGGGCCGCCTACCTTGCGTTGCAGGCCCAGCACTAAAAATGAAAGGGGGTGAAGAGTAGTTAGAAAATAATTAAATTTTTTTTATTACCTTCTCGAGCTGCTTGTGAATCCAGTCACACTTTTTTTCTTAGGTCTCCTAGTGTGCTTTTCGAGTCCAGGGTACAAAATAAAGTTGAAAATTGTTTTATTACTTCTTCGGGCTACCTACCTAGTCTGCAAACCCATTTTGGTGCTATTGTTTATTGTAGCTTTCAACTCGCATGAGGACCACTTATCATGTATGCAGGTCCATTACCGCGTCCATTTTAATTTTTTGGTAACTTGCAAGCCCAACAAAAAATATATGTTAATATTTTTCTTACCTCCCGAATGGCTTGCAAACCCACCAAGGTGCTGCTATTTTGTCCAAGGCCGCTACTCGGCCTATGGGCCCTTAATGGTTGGATATATTTGATACTCTCATTAATGAGTCCTCGTGAACGAGTTTGGACGCTAACAATGACGGGTTTGAAATTACTAATTTATCCCTGTACTTAACCCCTTTTGACAGACTATTTAACGGAGGACAATATTGAGCAATAACACAAAAGTTTGGGACTATTTTATGACACCAAAGTCGTTTAGGACAAAATTGAGAAAAACCACAATAGTCGAGTACAATTTTAGGTATTAACTCATTTGAAATTACTAAATTATACATGTACTTAACACCCTTTTAACGGATTATCTAACAGAGGATAATATCGAGCAATAACACAAAAGTCTGGAACTACTTTATGACACCAAAATCGTTTAGGACAAAATTGAGAAAAACCACTATAGTCGAGAATAATTTTGGATATTGTAAGATATATTAAATATAATATAATATATCTATAATATATATTAAATATAATATATCTATATATTATATTTATATATATTGAGAAGAGAGAGAGAGAGAGAGGAATAGATAAGTGATTTAATTGATGATTTAAAATGCTTGAATACAAATCAAATTCCAACTAGCAGAGATTGAAAAAGGCTTGAACCGAGCTCGTGTGCGCTGGCCTTGCGGGCTAAGTTATGCCAAGATTCGGTATCATTTTTCCAACACGCCACTGGAGGATATGTTG